CATGGGTGAGGATTTGTACACCTTAAGAGAAAGTTCTTCGTTTTTCTTTTTCCAAGAAGGGATCAGAGGCCACACTTACTATTCTCACTGTGTGCTGGTCCTGTTATTTTTTCTGAAAGTTGGAGAGATAGAAGTAAAAGGGCTAAGTAAGTAATACCTTAGGACATTTTCAAGTAAAAAGAAATGTTAATTTAGAATGATTTTATTTTAGATCTTTTGAATGGAAATATAAATATAATTTATAGATATTCATTGAATGATACTATAAATATTGTTCATTAGGAGCTCAAGTCATGTTATAGTTTTGCTTCCAATGCAAACATATGAGCATTTTATAGAAATACTTCTTCACTATAGTTCCACATACATTTCAATAGTTTATGTATAAATAAGTTACCAGTCCACATTTTCTTTATTAATTTATTTTTTTAAACCAGTTTACCTTATTTTTATAATATGATGGGTAATAAACATAATGATGTGGGCCTCCTCTATTTACTTGGCTGGCATATTTGCAAATGTGAATTTAACATTCTGATTTTTAACAACTTTTGTTGATTGGAGTCCCAGAGTACCAAACCCAAGAGACTGGGCACATATTTTATTTCTTCTTCCTTTGTTACTTTTTGCTTTGCAAAGTGCTGAATGAGCCAGGCCTGAAGAAAATGTGGGGTGATATTGGATCCATGATTCTGTGCCCCAAACATTAGATAGGATGGAATGATGGAAGCGCACTAGTAGGGAAGAATAAGCTGCTTCTGCAAATAACGCCCCTTTTAAGTCATGATTAGGGTGAGGGGTGTGCCCCCCAGCAAAAGCTTTATAAAGACATTTGGGAAAAATGAGTAGTGCTAAAAAGTAAAGAGAAGTACGGTACAGTGAAAAATACAGTTTAGCTGGTCATTGCATTCTTTTCTTGGTGGAGAAACATTTTCTGGAAACCAACTTAATTTTAAGAATTCTTCCAGAGCAGTGGAATCTGACCTTAGGGATTTTATCAAGCTGTGATAATGGGATCAATTATTATTCTTTCTTTTGAACACATACTAACGTTGGATGGAGTAGTCATTGTGCCAGTGACCTTCATGGTATTACATAACCACTTATTGATTGCTCATTATTTATGGCTGTGCTTCTGTGGGATCCCTTCCCTGGGAGCAGGGATGGCCTCTGCTAGCTAGAGGTTTTCACTGGAAGATAGATGACAGAAGCATCCACAGCCTGGTCTGCTTTGGTATTCTAAGATGACATTTAATTTTCCTAATTCACATTTATTTCTTAATGACTATAATTTGTTTTTCTCTTCAATCTTGACTTCTGAAGTTTTTAGATTTCCAGGTGACTTGGATTTTGGAGGTGGGTAGTAGCTTGAGTTGTAAAAATCTAGTGTTACTGTGTGTGTGGTTAGAATTCATTGCCTGTATGATATCTTTTTGTTCTTTATGAGATTCTCTTTATGGTTTAGCAAGCAATCCTTTTAATAAATGTTTCTTTAAAAAGAATATTTGAATCGACTTCGGGGACTGGTTACATAGACACTAAACTTTTCTTACGTAGTGTTAACCTTCTGGACTACCCAGAGATTGTTCCTTCTCTGATCTCTGGCCTGCCCTGCCTTCTCACGTGTTACCTTTTCATACCCCCTGGGACTAGGTCAATGAGGGAGGAGGTTGGGAGCAGTATTAGCTATGTGGGACAGTCTGAGGGCCAAACATTATAGGAGGAACCTCTTGTTTTGACTGGGCATCCTTCAACATGTATAATATTTTTCCAAAATTATTACCATAAAGGAATTGTCTCTTTAAGAATCTCCTTTTGGTTTGTCTTGACTGTGTAAGTTTTTTAATTTAATGAAGGTAGATCATTTTAGAAGAATTTAGTCTATGGTAAAGGACAGATCACAGCTTTTGCTCTATGTGTTCATCTTTAGGGCATGGGCTAGAGGGGAGATAGGGAAGGGGTTTAGCATGATACTTATGAATGGAGGGTCATTTGCTCATTTTGTCTGCTTTCTTCCTCTTCTTTCTTTCCACACACTCTGTATTCTGGAATAAGATATTACCCTGGCCTTTTGCTGTGTTTCAATGTTGCATTGCACAGTGGTGAAGAATCCAGGCTCTGGAGCCAGTCTACTTGTGTTTGAATCCTGTCTCCACTGTTTATTAACTGTGTGACTTTGGGCAAGTCACTGAATCTCTCTGTGTTTTGGTTTACTCATTCATTAAATTGGAAATAGTACCTACTGCACAAGGTTGTTGAAGGGATTAAAGGAGATATAATATGTATAAGTGCTTAGAATAGTGTCCAATAAATGTACCCAATATATTCAATAAATGCAAGCTATTATCCTTATTCCATTGGACAGGTGGATAGCCTGTTTCATATTTGTTTATGACATTATATCAGTTTGCACAAATAAAGGATGAATTTCAACTGTCTAACATTAAAAAATAGGACTGTTAACTGCTTGAATTTTTTGGACTGCTAAGTATATGAATCTCTTGAGTACTATTACAGTGACCACAAATGTTAATTGTTGTCACTGCTTAAATGATGATGTACTTTTGGAGGAAAGGCTACAATTCATTGATGCTTTTATACCTCATATGTGCTGTGTAAAAGGGTTCTCCATGTAGATAGTTTTATTTTTAGACTTTATTAGTCACTATATCAAAAATTGAATTAATTAAAATTTCCCCTGAAGATTTTTAACCCGTAACTAATGTTACATTAATAAGCTTTTTCTTGGCAAGGACCGTGGCTCATGCCTGTAATCCCAGCACTTTGGGCGGCTGAGGCAGGAGGATCACCTGAGGTCAGGAGTTTGAGACCAGTCTGGCCAACATGGCAAAACCCTGTCTCTACTAAAAATACAAAAATTAGCTGGGCGTGGTGGTGGGTGCCTGTAATCCCAGCTACTCAGAAGGCTGAGGCAGGAGAATTGCTTGAACCTGGGAGGCGGAGGTTGCAGTGAGCACCTACTGCACTGCAGCCTGAGTGACAGAGGGAGACTCCATCTCAAATAAAGTGAAACAAAACGAACAAAAAAAACCTTTTCTTACTCCCTTTGCAGCATCAGTATTTCCATTCAGCTGCCAGGTCTGGGATCTGATTTCAATCTCAGATTTTAGTAATTAACCATGGTGGTCCTGTACATGAATTAGCCATTGCTGAAGAATAGTCATGCTCATAAGCAGCCTTATTTCATTTTTATTTATTTATTTTAAATACCCAAAGCAGGCAGCACTTAGAGAGCTTTGTCTGACTGAATTTAGTTCTTACAGGCTAAGGCTAAATATTTTTAAATCAATTAAATCTAGGAGCATAGGATAAGACCTGTATCATAACTGTAAGATACATTATGCTTTTGGGGACCTATAGGAGTGATGGGGGAAGGGAAACTCACTGGTTAATAATTTCTAAATTCACTACTTGTTTTTGCTGAGAGTAGCAATGATGTTATATATCTTCAAAAATATGGAATGCTTTTGTTCTTTAATGTCTCGTAGAGAAAGCCTATGTATTTAGGTGTCTTACCCACTCTCATCTAGGTTTACTTAACTGGCAGTGTTTTGCGGGAATTGCCTGTGAGGTCCTGGGTAGCCATGCTGGCATTTGGGTCGTGGGGTGTAAGGTAGGGTGTTGTAGAGAAGCGTCTGGCGGATCCCGTGAAAATGAGGCTGGCCCTCACTTCCTGCTGCTGGTGGCTGTAAGACAGGTGCTGTATGCTGTAGCTGTCCTCCCCAGGGAGCAGGCAGCCCAAGCCAGGAGGACACTGTAAAGCATTTACCAGAAGGTTGGCAACTGAAGATGATTGCAAGTGACTGACTACACTACACACTGTTAAGGTCCTTCTTGTCTTGTTTAGTACAAAAGGCACATGAGAGTGTGGTTAGAGACCTGGGCACTTTGCCCAGCTCTGTAACCCATTCATTGTGTGGCCTCAGTGATGGTCTCTATTTTGTGTGCGCGTGAAAAATCGAGAATAATAATGCCACCTACGTATTTCTAAAGGTGTTCTGAGGATTAATGAGTTAATCACCTTACATGAAGGCAGAGAGCCCACCCTGTTAATAATTTTCATTGCTTTTCCAGGGAAGCTCCAGTTTGGGGGAATAAAATATTGGAAAGAAGATAGGAGTGGGAGAGGCTGCCTGCAGCTTAGTTGGTATATTTGAAGTCCAACTGTAGATCAGGCTCCTTTCTAGCTGGGGAATTTCAACTAACCTAAAATTTCTACATATTTTTTAGAAACAACACCAAGCCAAATGTCTGACCTGCTGTTTGTGGGAAAAGAGCAGATGTCCATTCTGGGAACACATTCATATAAGATGTTAGTGGTTTTCTCTCAGTACAAGAAAATGGGTAAAAAGAGAATGTAGATTTATGTGGCATTTAATCTTGTTTTCCTATTACTGGTGTGCTCTTTTTGAGAGAGTTGGTATTGCTTCATTTTGTAGATTTTTCAGATTTCTTTCACAAAGAAACTTCATACAGATCAAGCCAAAACAAAACAAAAAAATATAAACACACAACAATGGCTTTAAATACCAAGGATGTCAGCATGAAATTAAAATGAATCAACTGACATTTCTGCTTTGAAAATTTTTAGTAAAACTAATTTAACCCAACAGCAAAAGCTTTCTTATAAGGGAAAGTTTGACCTTTTTCATTGTTTTTTGATTTAAAGGTATTGACATTGGGGTGTTTTTGGTTAAAATTTACTTCAACCTTCTAAAGTCTTTTGGGATTTTGGTCAATCCTTGGTTGTGAAATAGCAAATACAGTCAATTTGGTTGGTACAATACAGTTTTCAAAGACAAGGTCTCTGAAGTAGTAGATATGGTATCCCCTCCCACCCATGTGTAACTGTTAAAAAGAACACTGTTGTCATGTGAATTCTTATTTTTTTGAGCTTGCTTTTGAAGTAACTTTCACAGAGAATTCCTGTTACCTGGAAATTGATGACAGACTTACACCATTTCCTTTTTTTTTCTTAGACGTTCCATCCTCAGAGCAGCCTGAACTGTTCCTAAAGAAACTTCAGCAGTGCTGTGTCATTTTTGACTTCATGGACACGCTATCTGATCTTAAAATGAAAGAATACAAGCGCTCCACTCTTAATGAACTGGTGGACTACATTACAATAAGCAGAGGCTGTTTGACAGAGCAGACTTACCCTGAAGTAGTTAGAATGGTGAGTTTCTTTTTTTCTCCGCGGACACTTTTAAGCATCTTCCATAGTGACTCACAGGTGTATATATTGCAAGAGTGAGGTCATTGGAGGTCAACTCCTCAAATGAGAGCCAACCTTTGGAGAGCTAAGCAAAAGTAGTCGGCACAGTGCTAGAATTTGAAGAGCATGATTTCCTGAGAATGAAATCCAGAACTTTCAACTGTAACAGTGCTAAAGCAATCAATGACTTCAAAATATGAAGCCAAGATTGCCAGGGTATTATTGGATTTCTAGCTTTGGCAAAAGAAAAGACACAGGAAAATAACAAAAGTCTTAGATCCATGTTTGAAAAATATTCAAGCCTGTTGGATGTCTTTTATTTTTAATCTTATTCATTGTGGTATATTAGAAACGGCTTTATGTTTAATAAAATTGTGATTTGTAGAATCTAGTTAAGGCCTCTCTTGGGCTTTATAACTCCCCCTTCTCTTTATAATCTCCTTGAAATCAGGGTTGGTGGCTTTCATGATTTTTGAATAGTGTCTGAGATTTTGTGTGGTCATTAAGAGTTATGAGAAAAAACATCATTAACATACTATGAGTAATTATGTTCTTACTGTGTCAACAATTATTTTAGTTTTTCAAAAGTTGAGCCAAAATGTGATTTTCTGTTAGATTTCTGTGGGAGAGTTGCCTTCTTTGGCATCCTAGAAGATTTTGGAGCTAGAGAGTGCATGCTGTTTGGGCATGGGCTTTGTAGGGTGAGGAGGCTGGTCTACTGACTAGTGAAATAGCCAAAGAGTTCCCTATGGGCTTGCATGATTGAGAAGCCTGTTGCAGGGTCTGGCACACTCTCTGTGTGCTGCTGAACATCTACCCAGCTTTTGTATTTAGCTCCTTATCATTTGTATTCAACCAGTGCAGAAAAGAGACTTTTGTGATGGAGTAGATCTGTTTAAAAATGATAGTTCAGATTTGCAAAGGGACTTGCATGGTCTCAGTGTGAGAAACTGTGACTAATATGTAAAGACCATTTGAAAACGATGCCCAATACATTCCTCAGATCTATGTCTGAATGTGTATTGGATTTGTTGTTAATTTACAGGAATATAGGGCTAGAATGTTTTGTGGGTTAAAGATGACCATGTGGCTCTTGAACAGTGCTTCTCAACCAGGTGCGATTTTGCCTTACGGGGACATTTGTCAATGTCTAGAGACATTTTTGGTAAGTCACAACTAGATGTGGCTGGAGAGTACTTACTACCAGCATCCAGTGGGAGAGGCTAGAGATACTGCTAAACATTTTACAGTGTACAGGATGGACCCTCACAATAAAGAATTATCTGGCCTCAAATGTCACAAGGGCCACTGTTAAGAAACCCTGCTCTTGAGTTTGCATGCTATCTAAAACTCTTAATGTGATGCAGAGGATCTTCTCTAGTCTGCCTGTCTTCTGCAGAGCAGAGTCCCTGGTTTTAGCTTACCTGTATCATCAGCCAAGAGTGTTATCTATTGTTTATAACTTTCTTCTGTATCTTTCCATGTATAGTTCATCAATATATAAGTATATACAAACCTATATGTATAAATATTTTTTTGTAAGCACACAAATGGTGGCACACTATATACTTGCTGTACCGTGCTTTTTTCACTTAGCAATATGTATTTCAGTACATGTAAAGTTGCCTTATTCTTTTTATAGCTGCATAATATTTATTGTGTAGATGTACCATATTTAAGCAGTACTCTATGAATATCCTTATACACATATCAGTCTGCCTTTGTATGAGAACATCTGTGTATTTATTTTTGAAGATTTAATTTTTTAAGAGCAGCTTTAGGTTCACAGCAAAATTGAGAGGAAAGTAAAGAGATTTCTCAAATGTTCCTTTTCCTACATAAGCACAGCCTCCCCCATTATCAATACCTCCCCCAACTCCCACCAGAGTGGCACATTTGTTGAAATTGATGATCCTACACTGACACATCATTATCACCCGGAGTTCATTCTTGGTGTTGGACATTCTATGAGTTTAGACAAATGTGTGTAATGACATGTATCCACCATTATAGTATCATACATAGTGTTTTCACTGCCCTGAAAAATCCTCTGTGCTCCGTTTCTCTATCACCTACCACCTTCAATTCCCTGGCAACCACTGATCTTTTTACTGTTTCCATAAATTTGCTTTTTCCAGACTGTCATGTAGTTGGAATCATACAGCATGTACTCTTTTCAGATGGGCTTCTTTTACTTAGTGATACGCACTTAAGTTTCCTTCATGTCTTTGCAAGGCTTAATAGTGCATTTCTTTTAGTGTTGAATAACACTTTATTGGTTGGATGTATCATAGTTTATCCATTCACCTACTAAAGGACATTTTAGTTGCTTTCCAGTTTTGGCAATTACAAATAAAGCTGATATAAATATCCGTGTAGAAGTCCCCCCCCCCCGAGATAGAGTCTCACTCTGTCACCAGGCACCAGGCTGGGGTGCAGTGGCACGACCTCAGCTCACTGCAACCTCTGCTTCCCGGGTTCAAGCAATTCTGCCTCAGCCTCCAGAGTAGCTGGGACTACAGCCATGCGCCACCATGCCCAGCTAATTTTTTTGTATTTTTAGTAGAGACAGGGTTTCATCATGTTGGCCAGGATGTCGATCTCTTGACCTCATGATCTGCCTGCCTCGGCCTCCCAAAGTGCTGGAATTACAGGCGTGAGCCACCATGACTGGCCTTTTTTTTTTTTTTTTTTTTTTTTTAATGAACATAAGATTTCAACTCCTTTGGGTAAATACCAAGGAATGTGATTGCTGTATATATTGTATGTAAGAGTATATTGCATTTTTTAAAAAAAATTTGCATTTACCTTATTAGTTGTTATAAGTAATGAGTATGTTTAGTTTTCTAAGAGACTGCCAAACTGTCTTCCAGGCTATTGGTACTATTTTGCATTCCTGCCAGCAGTGAATGAGAATTCCTGCTGCTCTACATCCTCACCAGCATTTGGTATTGATTTGACTTAAATAGTCTTTCTTCCCTGTTTCTGGATTTTTATGTTTTCCCCACTCCCTCACCTCTAGTTCTAATTCTTATTTTCCCTTCAATAGCTGACTTAAAGTGCTACTGTTGTCTCCTGGAAAAACAAAAAACAAAAAACAGTGCTTTTTCCTTCTTTCAGTTCCTCTGCTTCTTGGCAACTCACCATTTTGGGAATTTGTTCATTTGCTACTTTTTATCTTTTCACGTATTTATCTGATTTTTCTCATCAGATGTAAGCACTCCTGAGAAGGAACTGTGTCCTGCACATACATCTCTGTGGTATCCATAATGCCTCCTGCCTAGCCCAGGTCTTCTTAAAATTTGTTGAATGAATGAATTTCTCCTTAAATGTAGGCATTTCAGTCTCTCAAATTATGATTAAGATATTGGATGTCATTGGATTATACCTAGATTTTAAAGCTAGTCTTTAGCATAATCCAAAAGTTCTGTCATTCATATAAACCAGCTTGGTCTTAAACCAGGTTTGGTCTCCTAAGGGAGACCATTTTCTCCCTCTTTTTCTCCCCACTCTCCAGCCAAAAAAAGAGACTCCTATCATGTGTTTGTGTTTTAAAATACACTGGATCTTTACCTTAGAAGATGTTGAATCTGTTAGTGTACTTGCTGTTCTAGGGCATTAGAAAATTAACTTTCTAGAGGGTAGTTCGAGCTTCTTAGAAGTATAACTTATTTTTCATATTTGGTGATTTGTGAAATTGTTAGCTACTGATTGTATCTGGTGCTTCGACACTCTGGAGCATTCACAGAAAAGGAGTTACTATGATAGAGTAGAAAGAGACAAGGTGCCGGGCGCGGTGGCTCATGCCTCTAATCCTAGCACTTTGGGAGGCCAAGATGGGGGGGATCACTTGAGGCCAGGAGTTTGAGACCAGCCTGTCCAACATGGTGAAACCTCGTCTGTACTAAAAATACAAAAATTAGCCAGACGTGATGTCACATGCCTGTAATCCCAGCTACTTGGGAGGTTGAGGCAGGAGAATTGTTTGAACCTGGGATGAGGAGGTTGCAGTGAGCTGAAATCGCACCACTGCTCTCCAGCCTGGGCTAACAGAGCAAGACTCCATCTCAAAGCAAACAAAAAATAAATAAAAAGAAAGAGACAAGACTTTGGAACCATACAGACCTGGGTTCAAATGCCAGCTCTGGCCATGCTTGCTACATGAATGTGAGCAAGTTATTTTAACTTTGAGGTCCTCCATTTTCCTGTGGTGCTAAGAGGTACCTAGGGTGGGGGGAGGGTAGCCATAGTTTTCCCAACCCTTCCATAAATACTCCACCCAAGTAACAAGCTTGTACTTTTGTTTGCATATCAGCGTTCTCACCACATCACATACATACACAGTCCAGAGAACATATGCTTACTGTTCTGTAAGGAAAACTGGAACCAAGTTCCACTTGGTGGCCTCATTCTCTTCAATTTGCTACCTCTAAGCGCATTGTATATATACATTCTGGTGCTACTCACTTTCTTAATTTGTGTAATACGTGTCTTTGGGGGATTTTGTGAGGATTAGCAACAATATTGGTAAAGCTTTTAGAATAGTCTTTAACATGTGCCAAGTATTCAATAAATATTATTTTTACATTTCAATGATTTTATTAGATACTTGGTTTTATAATGATTGGTGGAACCCACTGTTAACTCTTTGTGGACATAAAGTGCTCCGTCAGTGAGATGTGTTTTATTCCATTGCTACAGTGTTTCTCAAGCTCTCTACTTTCAAGATGATCCTGCCTGTAGGATGTCACTGTCCTGACCTATTTCTCTTTCTTGTTACTGTAAAACAAAATCACTTCACTCGAATTAATGAGGAAAATGGTAGTGTTTTTTTAAATGAAATATTAATGAAGTGATAGCTGGGTTTTGCAAACCAGGATGAGTAATGATGTAAAATGGCATGTTATGGTATCAGCATTAGTACCGATAGCCTTTCATCCAAACCAGAGCTTTTGATGGGA